TGGCGTTCTGAGGAGCTCGGCTGCACAGTTTCGAAAGGAATTGGAATGCCTCATTGCGACACCAAGATTTGGTGAGTTGGCGGATATCACATATCTGTACGCAAACCATGCTAGCTATGATTTGTGCATGACGCAAATTGTTTGGTTTATGTGCTGCAAGAAGTAAAGAGAAGCCAAATAAATGTTTTGGGTCTTGTTAGTGCTATTGTAAATCTGAGAATTTTCATCATGTTTAATGTTTTTTTTGTAATTTGACACTAGCATCATGCTTTGGTAATTGAACTTGAATTTTAATGTCTCACAAGTAGTTCGATGTGTCTGCTGTGCTTATATAAAGTGAGGACGTTTGTTTGTTTTGTAAAATAATTATAAGGGCATCAAACACCTGTTGCTGCACAAAGTTTGTTTTTTGTAGAAGGCGGATGTGGCGTGCCGTTGTTACGAATCATAGTTGACGGTGGCTACGAAGGTCTTGTCCACACCGCTGATAGCGTAACAAGCGGAATACCCGTTGTTATTTGCACGAATACCGAGCAAATTCGCAACATCATTGACAAGGCCGCCCACTACTGGACGAGCAACAAAACGTATGTGGTCGTGGATGCTGGTGTAGCTTCTAAGGATGACAATGTAACAACCGGCTAGATGTTTTGTAGTTCTGGGGGATTTAATGACAAGCAAGCGGCGATTCTCAAGGAAATGCTCACTGGACTGTTGAGGAGTGAAGCAGGTGGCAAGGATGCCGAATGGACTGCGGAAACGGGTATCAGTCTTCTTGAATCCATCATGGAACACGAGAACTTGGTGAGTTGTTTCGTCCTCGACGAAATGAGCAGTGGCGATACCTTCGACAAGGCGATTCTCTACGCACTCATCAAAAGCTCAACGACGGATCCCAATGATCAACTTCTGATTGCCCTGAAGTTCGGCCGCATCGATGTGGTCCAGGAAGAGATTCTGTCGAAAGGCGTAAATTACCTCAAGTCGAGGATGCGACCCAGTAAGCTTTCAATGAAGTCAAAGGAGGAGAAAACTCGTAATTGAGTTGAAGTAGTCGAAATCGTAGGGGCATAAGACGGTCTTTTCTCTGCTAAATTGCATGAATTTCAATTAACAGAATATGTAGCCAATTTGGGTAGAAAACATTGACCTGACACGAGAAATCGATGCGTTGGGGCGTTCAGGTGGTTGGGCAACACTTGAGTGCCTCCTGCAGCCTCTAAAGGTGATTTGTGTTTGGATGGTAACTAGTTATGAGAATTGGGCACTGCGAACATGTAACCGCTGTTGTTTTGCAAATAAACGCTTTCTTGTGGGGAACTATCTACCATTGTCGTCAAATATATTGTTTTCTCATGTGTCATTAAACGCTGTTAATCTGATTATTTGTGTCGTGAAGGCAATTCAGTGTACTAACTGGACCCTAAATGAAGTAGCTAAAAGTGTGATGACCCCTGAGGTTTCATTTGCATGTTTGTCGATAATTGGTGTGTCTGTTTCCTCTAGGCAGATTAAAAGCCATCATGTCTACGGCTTTGCTAGAAGATCGAACGGAATTTGTGCAATTCCTGATCGACCTAGAATTGGTTAAAATGCAAACCTACCTGGACGTGGGCACCCTTAACTGGTTGTACAACAATGTGGATGACGCGTCCATCTTAAAGACGACTCTAAACTACTATGGAGTCGTCATAAAGCAGTCGCCGCCGAGTTTGATCGGGGCTGCACTCATGGCCACCACGGCCAATGTCCTGTCCATGGACACGGAGACGGCTGGCGAGGCTAACAGAGTGCTCGAAATGCTTCTCCAACGAGGTCGCGTACGAGCAAAACGCGATTGGACGAATCTGCCGACGATTAGTGAACTCTTGTTGAAGATGCTCGGGTCATTCAGTAGCATTCACTATGCAGAAGTCACAGTAAGCGATACGGTCTCTCTCCCATTGGTTGTCGCATCCAGTTTGATTCAAAGCCAAGAAAATGTTTTGATGGAATATACATTTATGGCTCCATATTGACATAAGGCGTCGTCACTTAACGCCATTGTGTGGGAGGTAGTAGTCCTTGTCGATGCGAACAAAACAATAATTTCAAAACTATTGCATAATTTTGTGAAATTGTCTTGCTATCATTTGTCTCATTCGGTAGGCGCATTTCAAGGTCATAAAATCGAAACATTTAGGCATTGTTTAGAAGATGAAGTGTGGTATTTTTACTCTTTCAGACATTTACCCGGCAGCATCTATTTCCGGAGCCCTTCCAGGTAAACATTCCCTTGTCTCCTCCTTCCTTTTTTTCGTAAATCAAATTACGTTAAACGCCCTCTAACAGGTAGTCATGCCTTTGTTATGTTGCTAGTTAAATTACACTTTTTCGAATGGCTGATAACAGCAACTTCGCCATGTTGTTCGTCGTAAACTCGGAGGACACAGTTTCGTGGTAACACGTCATGCTACCCTTTGCAGGAGTTGTTCATCTGGGCGGTTCTCAACAACCGGAACGCACTGGCTATGCTATTCTGGCGGTACGCTGATGATGCGGTGCCGCTCGGCCTGATTGGCTGCAATCTTTATCATAAGATAGCGCGAGCTCTGCCGACCTATGACACAGAGGGGCAGATTATGCTGACCAATCAGAAAAGTTACCTTGAACAGACATCCAAGGAAATGATCGAACTGTGCTACTCAAAGTCAAATGTAAGTGGCTCCTTCTTGCACAATTTTATTGGTTTCTTTACTTCAGCGCAATCGCCAATTTCCACTCTGCCATGCAATTTACCGACCTCAGAGTGGTAAGACAAATCGTGCATGAATTTGAAAATATCCACAGTTGAAAGATTTAAAGAGCACACCTTCCTCCTGAAATCTGTGGAGACATCAAGCTGATACGATGAACCACCTCAGACCTCGTGGGATCGGTAATGTCGGAGTGGAAATCTTCATCTCTATGTGCATGCATGCGACATTTTCGATTGCACTGTCCAATCATGAGCCGTGCACAGAGCCGTATTTAAGAAGTAGATTACTGAATTATTGGGTTTTAAGTTGTGACGTGCTAGACATGGTTGTGTCGGACGGAAATAGTGGGGGACTTCAATCATGTAATGAGTCACTTTGAGGTTTTACTATGGTGATTAGGTAAACTGACATATTGTGGAAAAAGAGGGTGCGTTTTGCTGCGTGAGTAACTTGGTTGGAGTTTTTTGGGTAGTTTGTAGAAATATTTCTTGGTTCTGATTAATGACCCTCAATTAGTTGATTCGGTGCATTGGGATTGGTCAAACACCTACTTGCAATATCACGGAGAACAACGAACATCTAGTGGAATTTTCGAGATACGTTTCGTTTTGCTTGTCAACAAAAGTCAGATATTTTGTAAGTCTTTGCGAGTAAACATGGTGCATTCTTGAACCGTTTTCTCCAATATCGATTTCCGGTTTCTGATTTATTTATCCTTTCTTAGTTGCAGACACTCGTTTCTTCCAGACTTGAATTAGATGCCATTTTGTCGATTTACTAAGTTAGTGCCAAGTTGTAGTCTTTTGTGTGCTTGTATGATAACCGTTTTCAGGTGTTGAAGGTAACACACACACAAGTTCAAAAATTGTTTCCAAACACAATGCGCATTGACCCTGACGCATAAGGACATTGCCCGGACCTCCACACTTCACCCCATGCTAATGTGAAATTCTCGTGTGCAAAT